TGCAGCTTGGTTTAATAAAACCCTATAAACAACAATAGTTGCGAATGAGATAGTTTCACGCCAGGACAAAAAAGAGAGCTTCAGCACAATATTCAGCAAGGAGTGGATTAATAGCCCTTTAAAAAGAATCGCGGTTATATATGTCAAAGTAGACTTTTGCACGCGTCTAAACTATTCTTTGTGTTCCTAGGACATTAGATACTAATCAGGAATTCGAGACCAGAGAGGGTGCCTTGCTCACCCTAGAGTCTGACGTTTCTTCTATGAAGGAAAGGTGTGTGCCTCAGGCAACACCTCTTCCTTTTGTGGGGGCCCCACCAACCAGTCCTTGCTATTATGTCTCTAACAGTTACCGCCTATTATAAGGTGCGCATGTGCTAAGGTGATATTGTTTTCCCCTGCATGTTTGTGTCCAGGTGTCGGCCAGCCAGGCAGCCAGGGTTCAACATACTGAATTCGATGTCGGGCCGATAACACGCCTTTCACGTCTTTTGTCCGCCTGAACCCAACTCTTCCCAGCTCCTCTCAGGTACCTCGTACCCAGCCACCAATCAAAGCCATCGCCAATTTGTGTGGAGAGCTTCCAGTTCAGTCACGCCAGCTTATCGAGGAGCCAAGAAAAATTGAATGATCGGCCGATCTATTGGTTTGCAAGGAAAAAAGCTCAGGTCTAATTCTAAAGAGTGTACAAAATTCACAAAGTCCCCTTTCCGTGCCTGCCAGAGGCACAACCCAGGCACAACCCCAAGTCTTCCCCCCCATCACCCCCAAGAGAATAGTTTGATGTCCAACTCTTTCAGGAAAAGAGGTCCGTCAAAAGCTGATAGGTATAAGCTGCTTGCCGCTTAGTTCTGCTTCTTGTTGTCCTTGGAGTTGGTGTTCCCAGTGGCAGCCTTGGCGTTGGTGTTGGTGTCAGAGCCACTGTTCTTGGAGTCACCAGTCTTGGAGTCATCCTTGTCCTCAGTGTTTCCAGAAGGAGCCTCCCCTCGGGGCTCATCGTGAGTGGGAGCGGTGGTAGGAACCTCGGATGCAGCGCAGCCCTTGGCAAAGACATAGAGCTCGTCATCGCGAACAGGGACCTTGGCGGGAGGGACCTCGAATAGCTTGCACAGAGGGGCAGAGGCATCGGCAGGAAGACCGAACAGGAAGCTTTGGCACTTGGCCTCAGCGACACACTTTTCCTGGCACTCCTCGGCAGTCTTCACAGTCGGGGTAGCGATAGGCTGGATGCTGCTGTCGGCAGGGCCAGAGGGAGCAGCGTTGCAGACCAGGCTGCGGGTAGAACGCTTGTGGTTGACCTGGCCACGGGGCTGGGCGTGGGTAGGAGCGGTATTGGGGACAGCGCTCTCAGAGCAAGCCTTGTCAAAGACGTACAGCTCGCTACCCTGGCTGGGGACCTGAGCGGCGGGAACGCTGAAGAGCTCGCAGACGGGGACGTCAACATTGGCAGGGAGACCAAAGATGAAGCTCTTGCAGGAAGGGTTGCTAAGGCAGGCCTCCAGGCAAGCGTCAGCCGTGGCAGCGCTGGGCTGAGCAATTGGGTTGATATTGGCGTTGGTGGCAGCCGAGGGAGCGACGTTGCACTGCTGGCTACGAGCATCCAGAGGATGAGCCAGGACAGCAGCGGCCATGGAGGCAGAGAGAATAGCGATGGTGGACTTCATTTTGAAGAGTGAGTTGTAAAAAGTTGAGTGTGTGGAGTTGGTTGTTGAGTGGAAAGAGTGTAGAAGTGTTTGTGTGCAAGTGAGAGTGAGTGATTGTTGATGTTGTAGGAGAGTGTGGTGATGAAAGAGAAACCTATTTGGACGGCTGATCTTGATGCATTTATACTTGTAGAGTCCATAGTAGTTGGGATTCTTCAGAGGTAACTCATTCTGGTTCCCAACCCCCTGAGCGGTCAACTCTCAATGTCCTTGTTAGTCATTCTCACCATGGTCTCTTCACACTGCCCGAGAGCCTCGTCATGGCGATGTAGCAGTTGGAGAGTGGATTTGGAAGAGAGTTCACCGGGATCCACATGAAGCCTGATCCTGACGTGTCTTGGGAGGAGGGCGATGCCGACAACCCGGAGTTACGTGTGGCTGGCGACGGCAACTGGGGATGCCATGGTGTCCCCTATTTTGTGCATCATGATTAGACTTTTCTTGATCTGTGTTTTGAAAATGGATATCTCCATAGGTATTCAAGTTACGTGTCATCCCTTCCACGCCTACAGATGTGTTCCATCCAGGGGGGTTCATCGGGCGTGACGACAGCGCCCCATATTCCATATTCATGTCTCTCGATTCCTTCCGGCAACCAAAGGGAATATTTTAGTACAAAGCTAAGTCCCCGAATTTCGGGCGGTTTCTACTGTTTATGCCGCCTTTGCTCACCTTCTACTGTAGCAGAACGACCGTGAAGGGGCTCAGTGAACTGACCGCTTTTCCTCCTAAACGATTTGTAACGGAAACGCAGATCCCTAAACGCCTAGTTTTCTGCATCCAAAGGCACAAGCATTATAAGATACCTCTTGCAAGCTCTATGCGTAGCACAAGCTTCAAAGAGAACTGTTACTGGATTTAGGAGTTCCAGTGATTCTCCATCTCAATGGGTGTAGTTGTCTGAGATCGGCACTAGGCGCAGCCGATAGCGTCGACACTCCGCATGAAAAAGTCGGAAACTCGGAACAACCAGTACCTCGAGACCCCCACCTCCCGATGACTAGAATATCTCTCGTCGCTTGCGCCCTATTTTTGACAGTGACATTCTTCTCGGGGTGCCCCCATGAAGTGTCGGGCGAGTTGCTCTGCCTGGCTCAGTAACACTGTGACTGGGACCAATCTACCGGGTTGATAAGGTTTTATTTGTTAACTTGATGATGATCAATCTACGATGAGGTTCAAAAATAGTGTTTGCTCTCAACCAGTATTCGTTCCTCAAGTTACATGCTCTTTGACCATTCCCAACACCTGGATCTTTGGGCTCCACAGTTGGTGATCACCATCCGATCAAGGATCGACCTGCCCCCCGACCATGATCCTAGAAGTTTAAACTGACTGTCATTGGATCCTTGAAGGCATTAGTGATGCCACAATGGACTTTGCCATGGAGCCGCTAGTTAGTTGAGGTTCACACCCCTGACGCTAGTCAGCCTCCGCCACCCTGGTGCAAGGCGGAACTCCCCGTTCGAAACACCCACTTCCCGACCAAGGCCTATGTGTAGCTGGGGCTTACAGGAGCCACTCTGTGGTGACGACGAAGGACGACAGGCCGCCGGCACGGAGGAGAATGGATGTTTGGAGATGCTGTAGCTAGAGCAGATCTCGAACCAATGGTTAGCTATCAACTGCCAACGTCAAAATATGATTCTGTGGATTTAGTTGGGGACTCGTAAGTCTTTTCCAACTCTGCGCAGAGATTGCGTGTCCTGTTTTCTTTTTCGTCTACAGGGCTGGCTGGCAACCGTGGAGGTTCCTTGCCTGGTCTTCGGTTTTCCCAGCCTGGGAGGAGTCACCGTCGTTGCATCCTTCATAATTCAGGAAGGCATAATGGCAGTTAACTTTGAAGGGCTGCATGGAGGCGAAGCATAACTGGGAGAAGTTTGATAATCTCAACAAAGAAACTCCCCCTTACTTCCCCGTAAACTCAATGCAGTCAGATTTCACCCAAGTGCCCGATCCCGTTGAGTCATCTCACCAAAAAGTTTAAAACGCCACTGGAACGTGGGAGATATAAGGAGAGGGTCTTCTCATCCCATCAATCCATCAGCAAAGCCCTCTTCAAAGATTTGTTATAACTTAGCATCACGACAGCCCTCACTAATACTTTACTCAATACGGTCCTCCCCCATACGGCACTCATCGACATGCCTCACTCAAAGGAGAAAGACAAAGCCGAATCGACCCTTGATTTGGGAGGGCTGGCCAGCGGGGCGCCGTTTGCCAAGGGCTTTTATAGACTCTTTATCATCCTCACGTTCGGTTCTTGCCTGGCATCCCTTGTGTTCTTAGTGAAGACATTGCAGGAACCTGTGGGTGAGAAGAGGAAAGAACTTCGCAACGCTTCTATTCTTTGTTCTACTGTGGCGACCTTGTGCTCAGTTGCGAGCTTCGTATTCCGCCCGGGCAGCCATGACATTCAACCAGACCTTGAAGCAGGCTCACCTTCAAGCAAGGCACCGTCTATCGACATTGAGCGTTCATCCATCCCGTCACTACCTACGGCTAAGCTAGCCACTGAGACTGGATGGGAAGTAAGGCAAGAAAAATTGCCCCCGTACGATGGCTCAACAGCATCTTCCTTCTCTTGACTACGGGAGCAGAATACGCAAGTTCTTGGTTTTACATACTCTGAAGCTAAAGGAAGAGTTGACTGGATTATGCATCGAACTGGGTGATTGTTCGAGTCGATTGTGTGTAATTCAAGAAATCATGTAACACCTGGCTCTTAAACCATATCCTCGACATAGCTCACTCTCTTGCTTACCACAACCGGGCAAGGCTGTGCTGGCGGCGTCTCTGCATTATCGCTCCTCTGATCAGCCACCGATTTCTCGCCATAGAGGCGATTTAGATCCGCCTCGTTATTTAAGGGAACTTTCTCTTGAAGGCGCACTACAACCTCAACTGCCCTCTCGTCTTCGATAACTTTTGGGTGGCGCTGTGCAAAGTATCTTGCATACTTGAACAGAGACCAATAGCAGCTGGAAACATTGACCGCCGTAAGCGCCATCTTGTAAGGCATCTACACCGTGTTAGAAAAGTGCGAGTATGATTGGTACGGAGAGTGCTTACGTAGTAAAAGAGTAGGACACCATAGCCGACTCTCTCCCTCTTTCGCCTGAGATGCACCTCATTGAAGATGATGGCGTTTACTAGGTAGACTAGAATAGTAATACCCAAAAGCATTCCACAAAACCAAGGCCTCACGATCATGGAGATGGGGAGGACGAATGGTGTCATGAGATAGAGTAATGTCTCGTACACCTAGAAGACGCCTGGTGTTAGCTTGGCGAGTTTTCACCTTGGTGAAGTAGGACATACCTCCTGAAATACAAAGATTTTCGTTCCAATCTCCCAAAACTCAAGTTTCCAGCTGCCCAGGATATAGGCCATGTTATACCACACACCATTAACAAAGAAAAAGTTCCATCGATGGAACCTCTGCTTAAAGACTGTCATCTCCCCAAAACCGCCTCGGCTTCCACCGGAGCTGAAAAAGATGGCTGATGGAGTCTCTGTCTCGACAAAGACAGAGGTGCACATCTGAATGCGACCTCCAAGCCTGCGACAACTATGGCCCATGAACCAGTCCTCAGATACTGAGAAGCCAACATGGTCGTGGAACGTCTGCACCAGGAACTTTCGATCCCAGAGCGAAATTGCACCATGGGGAAATGTTGCACTGCCGATTTTCCCGGCCAAGGCTCTTTGTAGACCCGAGATTTTGTACTCAAGGTCTTGTGCCTGCTGGCATAATGTGCCCCTGGAGGAATTTGGCCCAACACTTTTGATGGCATAGCCAATGCACATGACTTTGTCTCGAAGGCGATCGCCGACGATGGGAAAGTTTGGGGGGAGAGCACAGTCGTCATCGATCAGGAGAACATTCTTGAAATGCTTTGCCGCATAGCATCCAACGAATTGGGCGACAATCTTGGAACCGACTGGAGACCAGATGTGGTTCACTCCGTAGGGCTTGCAGATATCCTCGGTATTGTCAAGAGGCTGAGGGGAGTTCCCGTTGGCTATGACAAAGATGTTCTGAGGTGGAAAGATCTTGACGGCTGCTTCGAGGGTTGGCCCGATGATGTTGGCGGCTTTGTAACAGGGGATGAGCAACGCCGTCTCACGAACAGACTGATCAGTGTCCGTGGATCTTTCAACAGGAGGGGGGTCGGGTTCGAAGAGGACAAATAGAGGAGCGAATGCGTATCTGAAGACTGTTAGCTACTTTATGAGCATGAACTTTCTAGGTGCGCGTTCGACTTACAAGGCAGCCACACCAATCATGATTGTATATCCTCCAGCAACAATCATTTTCTCCTGAACCGCCACAAAGAGCCACCAAACGGCTCCACGCCATAACGGCATGCCGACCAGGACAAAGTAGATGAAACAGAGGAGGAAAGTGTAAACAGTATACTCAAAGGCGATCTGAGTCCACTTTTGGCGCTTGATCTTTTCTCCGCGGACCTTGGCCTTTTCGTAGACCTCATATATGCTACCCCTCCGAGCGCTGCGCTTGGAGAGAGCACGGCTCAGTGATCTAGCCAAGCCACTTGTGTTATGAGCTGGGGGTGGTGCGAGGGGCAATGGAGGAAACTCATGAGAGGCCGGTAGAACTGAGTCTTCTCGTGACCCAGGGAGTCTGATATCGAGGTAAGGGTTCGTGAAGCCATAGAAAGAGGGTGTAGCCGGCGACGGTACTCGAGCCACATCTTCAATTCTAAAGCTGCCTTCTCGGACTATAGAGGGCAAGCTAGAACTGCGGTGCAATCTTCGTCTGCCAGGTCCAGGTCCCGAGGTCCATTTGACTTCGGCAGTGCGGACAACGCTAAGTGAACGAGAGATACCTCCACTGACAGAGGCTCGCCTTACGACGACAGACCGGGGCAGTGAATCGAGGTGTGCTTGCTGTTGCCGATCATTTGGTTGTAGGCTCTGGCCACTGACGGCATTTTGTATGAGGCCATTGGGAATAGCAAACTGCTTCACGGAGGGTGGTGGCTCGAGATGCATCTTGCGAGAACCAGGCCTACTGACTTGCAATTATATAACGAATGAATAAAAACGATTGACTGCCTCAAATAGAGGACGATTCGAAAATGCAACAACGAGCGACGGGTTTGATACAGCAAACAACAACAAGCATCTGGCCTGGGACAAACTGCCGGCGAGGAGCATGCTCTATATTGAGTTTCCAGAGCTCTCGGAAACATCTTGGCTAGGGAACATGGAAGATCCCGCCATCCTCCTGCTCCCCCATTTAGCCCAGTGCATCCGGTTGCGCCGAAATGAGGTTATCACCACGTCCAGGCTGAGCTGAGCTCAGACCCAGGATAGGCAAGGCAAGCTGCCAAGAGGACGTTGTTCGTATTAGGACGCCCCTGAACCCGGGTCTTGCATCGACGCAGATGCAATCATGATTCGAGGTCTTTTCAGCACCAGTCGCACCATTGTCTAAGTTGCTGGATCCCATCTCCACTGTTTCGCGGGTATCGAAGAGTGGATTAGCGAGCCCGAGGTCGTATCGTCGAAGTCAAAACATGACATAATTTTCCCTGGATCAGATGCAACATCACGCCTGTCATAACCAATACCGGGATTTTGTTTGGCTCAATGCACTGCCACCCCTCTGAAGTGTCACCAGGAACAGGTAAAGAGGGCGCCCTGACCGTCAGGACGGCCGCAGACACTCTGGTGGAGTCCCCAACAACCTCGTCTTCGGTTCCGGAGTTTTCTTTGATGCTCCATTTCGGATCTAGATTACAGGGGTAAACGCTGGAGAGCATGTGGGATCCGATGTGGCCGCTCGCAGGATGAACGTGTCTGAAGTCGAGGCAGGGATGTCTCTTGAAACTCGAAATGTTGTCACAGGGATCCCATGAGTTGCTATTACCGACCCGTCACGGGTTCCAATTAGAGCACGGCTTGCGAATAAATCCCGTAGGTAAGATTTTTATCCGAGCCCCTGGAACTTTCCACAAGTGCCTCATTCTCAGGGCGTCAGCCCAGTCTCACAATCCGAGATGCAGAATCCATTTCTTGGCTGTGGGTTTACGGCCAACTCCTCTTGTACCCCAGCGCTTTATTTAGATCGTACGACAGTTGTTGAGAGGAGAAAACTGTCATGTCTTTGTGCTTTGTATCTCAAAAATAGCAGTACGAGTAAGACGGATCTCTACAAGGCAGAATCGAGCGCCGGTCCAAGGCCTGTTAGACAGTTGGCAGCATCGCTGACGTGTCGGCCACGCAAAGTAATGTCAGCTTGGGAAAGGCCTTGGGCAAAGAAACAGGGGCATTAGTTAGTGTGCAGAGTATCGAGATTACCACGGTCAGCAAGATGTGAACAAGTGAAGTTATCCAAAGACTAGGCTGCCGTTAGCCTCATGGCACCACCGCCCAAGCCATCTCTTAAGGTGCCGGCAGATGGAAAGTGACGCAATGTCAGTCGTCGTCAGCAAGGGTTAGACAAGGCCCTGGCCTCTTTGACGCACAAAGGCACCGCTTTTCCGGTGACGGTTTAGGCACGAACGGGTCTCATCCCATCACCGTGGCCCTCCACTTTTCCACTTTTAACCGAGTGAAAATATTTCATTCAGAGCATCTGAGTGGTTATCAGGCAGGTTATGGGGATGCCAAGGGGTCTACAATTCGCTGTTACGAGTTAGATGCGGCAGATAGCAACGTTGCCTACCCACTTGCCGACTCCTCATGGTTAGAGAAACAAGTTTTCCGCGTGTTTTATGTGCTGTCCATTTGCACAAGGCCGTGATAACTTGAGTCGGAGACTGCAAGTTGATGGGAAGGTCTTGCTGACGAGGGCTTACGCTGACAGATGCCGATGCAAGATGGGTACAAGGGGGACTTTCGATCGAGAGTCGATGACCTCCGGTTGTAAATGCAAGAAACCAAACAAATCTACCTTACATGTCTGCATGTATGACGTGCCGCCATGTGTTCCTTATCGTGTAATCCGATCGAGTAAAAATATCGCGCTCGGATCAGAGGCAGAGGAACAATCCTTTCGGTGAGTCCGGCCTGCCCGGGCAGTGTCGTTGTTAAGATCGAGATCTATTACTCGATTAACAGCTTACATTTTAGATGCTTAGTTACCTAGTTATGATTGTCTTGATCTCATGTCGTTGGAGATTATGTGTCAAGCGAGTCGTGAGGTTCGCCAAGTGCCTTGCAGTCTGACCTTGCGTCAGCCACATTGCTCGGCTGTATCCTTGCAACAAACGTGATGTTTCATGCCGGACATTTTCTTCTCGGGTGATCGACGTCAAGTGACGGCTCACGTGCTTGCATAACATGCATTCAAAGTATATAGAAATGTATTAACATCAGTATGTTCGGGCCAAGCCAATTGCTAATAAGTATTCTCTTCGCTAATACAGTAACCAATCGCCTCACCACTTGGGAGTCTTGGCGGAAAAGTCTGGCTGGAATTTCCTCATATAGGTAGTGTCATCTCGTTTTCGCAATCCACAGTCAAGATACTGCTGGTGAAGCCTTGCCAACTTCGCCCTGTCCAGCTCAACGCCCAGTCCTGGCAAAGAGGGCACAGTCACACCACCATCTGACCACTTGAGATTGCCATCGACGATGACGTCCTCGTCGCGACGCTTCCACGGCCAGTGAGTATCACAGGCATAGTCGAGATTGGGGGTTGCAGATGCCAAGTGTGTCATGGCAGCAAGTGAGATGCCCAGGTGACTGTTGGAATGCATCGACAGGCCCATCCTCCAGGTTGCGCATATGGACGCCAATGTTTGTGATTTCCGTAGACCGCCCCAGAAGTGATGATCGGAAAGAACCACTTGGACTGCGTTCTGCTGAATGGATGGGACGAGATGGTCAAAGGACACCACGGCCATGTTGGTAGCCAGTGGCATGGGTGATTCTTTGGCCACGGCTGCCATGCCTTCGATCTCTGGGGCGGGGTCTTCCAAGTACTCGACGATACCATCAAGCTTCTTGGCGACCCATTTGGATGTCTCGACAGTCCATGCAGCGTTAGGGTCGAGCCTCAAGGGTACACCGGGGAATGCAGCATGTAAGGCCTTGACGGCCTCAACCTCTTGGGCTGGAGGGAAGACACCTCCCTTGAGCTTGATAGCCTTGAAGCCATACTCATCAATGATCTTCTTTGCTTGCTTGACTATTCCAGCTGGGTCTAAAGCTGCACCGTACTCGTCGTCTTCATCGCCGGGGTGTCCTCCCCACTTGTAAAAGAGGTACGCGGAGTATTGGACATTGTCTCTTACACGCCCACCCAACAAGTCACTGACAGGGACACCGGCCAGCTTGCCCTGAATGTCAAGGCAGGCGACTTCAAATGGGGAGAAGACTTTATCGGTAACACTGGCCGTTGTCACCATGCCTGCCATGCCGTCTCCCTCAGTACTTGTGTCGCCGGTGAGAGACTCGACACATTTCTTGTAGATGAGGTTTGTGCTGTGCACTGAGAGGCCCTTGATCTGCTCGGCGGCCTTCTGCAGACGACCCAAGTGAGTTGAATCTCCGTAAGATTCACCCAGACCGTAATGATCTTCGGTGATGACCTCGATGATGCTGCGCAGTGCAAATGGTTCATGAACACCAACACTGTTCAACAGGGGCATATCATGGAATGCCACCGGCGTGATGACAATATCCTTGATAATACTGCGTTGAGACATGATTTCTTGGGTAAAAACAAATTGGTTGAGTGCTTGAATTGCTATAGGGACTGTCAATGATGGTGGATTGGTTAGACGTTAAAACGTGGTTGACCTATTCTTGTCTTGGCCGGAAAACGATAGCAATATCGCTCCCGTCCCTCACTGCCTGTTGCGGGGTAATGCACCACTCACCAGTTCAGTAATGCGGTTTATCACGGGAGTTGATTAAGAGTCCGTTGGGTAGTATCCGTCATTTAGTTTCCGTGTCATCTGCGCAAGGCCGTTGAAGGAAAAGGGGCCCTTGACCGCAGTGGTGCTGCGATGTTGGGGCTACATTGGCGCACATGGCGGATACTGTAGCGGATAAAGCTATGATTGGATCATTATCCGCAAGCCAGTTAGCAGAGATCGACGAGAGTGTGGCTGATCAACGGCGCAAAACTCACCTCCTGGTCAGCATTTCCGCCTCGGTGAAACCTCAACTCTAACCCCGCACTCTCGAGTCACTGGCCCACTTGGAATGGTTGCCAAGTCTGGGGTTGTCTGGGGTAAAGACACCGCTATGTACTGGCGTCGAGTAGGGATATTGCTAGAGGCCTTCTGGCTATAATATCTAGCTTGGCCCCATCGATGGTGACGAACAGGCCACCAGCGACACTTCCTCTCCTCCTTTCAACTTCAAGGTGACTATTTGTAGCGACTCTCCTCAGCGACCATCTCCACCATGGCTCCCAAGAGCTCAATCGAAAAGAGCGACGTTGACGTCATGGACAAGCACTCTCACCTTGAGAATGCGCCCGAGGCCATCGACATTGCTGGCTTTCGCGTCTTTGGCCTGGACCCAGAGGATGCTGAGTTCTACACAAACTACCCCGAGGAGAAGCGAAAGAAGGTCTTCCGAAAGGTTGATGTTCGCCTTGTCCCCATGCTTGCAGCGCTGTACTTGATTTGCCACATCGACCGTGCCAACATTGGTAACGCGAAGATCGAGGGCATGGTTGAGGACTTGGGCATGTCGGGAGTTCAGTATAACACAGTTCTCTCCATCTGTACGTACGATTGAAACGATCTCGTTACCCCCTTCGGCGAGTCTTGGATGAAAATACTGACCCGATGCCATAGTCTTCATCCCTTACGTCCTCCTCGAAGTCCCCAGCAACATTCTTCTCAAGAAGTTCAAGCGCCCTTCCATGTACCTCGGCATCCTCACTCTTGGCTGGGGAATTATCATGACCTGCACTGGCCTGGTTCAGAACTTCGGCGGACTCATGACTACGCGCATCATGCTTGGAATTTTCGAGTTAGTGGTACCACCAACCCTCACTGTTTCTGTGCTGACACCGCTATCGACAGGGCCGGCTTCTTCCCCGGTGCCATCTATCTCTGCTCGTACTGGTATATGCCCAAAGACCTTTCAGCTCGCATTTCATACTTCTACTGCGCGAGTGCGCTCTCTGGCGCTTTCTCAGGTCTCCTCGCTGCCGGTATCGCTGAGATGGACGGAGTTGGCGGATACGAGGGCTGGAGATGGATCTTTATCCTTGAAGGTCTCGCCACCGTTATCCTCGGCATTGGCTGCTTTTTCTTGCTCATTGACACGCCTGCCCTATCCACACGTTGGCTGGAGCCTGATGAGATTCGATACCTTGAGCTTTCCATGTTCATCAAGCAAGGAGGCGGCTTTCACGAGGAGAATAAGGTTCGGTGGAAGGATCTCAAGATGGTCCTCACCAATTGGAGAATTTACGTGCAGGCATACTTCCTGCTCTGCCAGTCTGCTCTTTCTTATGGTAAGTCCTGCAGGATGCGACCAAGAAGAGCACAAGCTAATACTTTGGAACAGGTATCAAGTTCACTCTCCCGACCATTACCAAGGCCATGGGCTTCAGCAACACCACTGCTCAGCTTACTTCCGCCCCCCCGTATGTTGCTGCCGCCATCTCGGCTATCACCTTTGCCAAGTTCTCGGACCGTTTCTTCTGGCGAATGCCGTTCGTGGTTATCCCTATGGCTATCGTAACGACCGCCTACTCTATCATTCTTTCCCTCAACGGAGCTCTCGAAGCGAAGAAAGCTGTGGCCTACTTTTCCGTCGTCCTCGCCGTCATCGGTATCTACCCAATCCAAGCAGCAGCAGCTTCTTGGAATGCGAACAACATTGCCCCTGCTTCGCGACGAGCTATTGGTATCGCCCTTATGAACTGCGTCGGCAACGTTGGTGGAATTGTGGGCAGCTTCATGTACCTTGAGAAGGAGAAGCCCAAGTATCACACTGGTTTCGGTCTCAGTTTGGCATTCGGTGCCAGCGGATTGATCGTCGCTCTTCTCCTTGAGTGGAGCTACAAGGTTGCAAACGCCAACAAGGCCAAGATTGCCGACGAGGCCAAGGAGAAGTACACTGAGGAGGAGCTGTTTGAGATGGGTGACCGATCGCCGCTATTCAAGCATGTGCTGTAATGGGTTGTATAGAAATATCAACCGTTGACCTGCGAGGGTGGGGATGGTCGTGGTATGGCGTTGCGATGGCGAGGCATGGATGCTTGGGTTCTTCCCTCGCATTTGATGCGGAGAGGGAAATTGGTCATGACATTCTATTAGTGTTACTTTTGTTAATCTGAGTCTGATACCATTGCTTCCGGCGAAGCTTAAGACCTTTGGCGTATATATCACAGAAATGAGTACTTTATGACGAACACTACAAGTTCCTCGATCGTGGATGTGAAGAGGTGGATATTCTTGTTCGGACTGATTCTCCCACCCCTGAAGCGTTCCATGGGTCTCTACACCAAGGCATGCTGGGGAGAAGAAGTTTCAGAGACTTGCTCCTTGATGATATGCTGTTACCTATCACACCCCAAACTGGCAGGCAAGGATTGAAAAGCCTACAAGTCGCCCTTAGCTCCAAGAAGCTTGGCCAACATTGGCGTTGCGTCTCGTTATTTTATGCACCCACTCTGCTCGGAGGGATTACCAGGCGTCACAACCAACAATGTGAAGATTTTGAAGTGTAAAAAAAACTAAAAAAGAAGTCAAATTATTGCTTCCTCGCTATCCATCTGGAAAATGCTCCAACTAGGTTCTAATTTGTTACACCGTTACTGTGCCCATTGGTGCTTCCATTCGTCGCATTGGGTTGCAGCGACGCCTCAATGCTCACCAAATCCGCAATTTGTGCCTCAATCACCTTCTTGGCAGAGTCTGAAGGCTCAATGTATGGTCGTCTAGGCTTCAGCTTCTCCTGAGCTCCCTTGATACCAGCCGCCTTCGCTGTGTTGAGAGAAGCCGCGTACTTGACAGACGCAATGCCAGCCTTGCAGGGCTGTTCAGCGAGCGCAGCCCTCTTGTGCAACTCCATAGCTTCCTGATACTTGCCTTCCTGATACAGGTTATAGATGTGCACAATGATTCTCGGAAATACATTGGCGAAGCCGGCAATGGTGCCCATGGAGCCAGCAGCAAGGCCTCCAATGAGGAAATCTGACTGTCCTCCATATGTAGCGAATCGATCAGCCGGAAGTTCAGCAGCGAGTCGTGTGATCTTGGCAACAGCTCCGCATGTTAGCTTTACGCCAACAATGTTGCTATGCTTCTTCGCCAGAGCGGAAATTGTTGCTGAGTCGAGGTCGATACCATTGCACACTGCAGGAAAATTGTAGATGACGATAGGGAGCTGACTCTCCTTGGCAACGTCGTCAAAGAAGTTGTTGATAACTTCTGGTGTCGTTTGCTTGCCAAAGTATGCTGGAGGTAGAAGCAACACGTAGTTGGCACCAGCATCAGCCGCATCCGAGATGAACTCCAAAACTTGCTTTGTTGAGTGGCCCCCCACGCCGGCCATGATGGGGTAAGAGGGTCCGCATGCTTGCCGAGCCGTCTCTAGGAGAGTCTTGCGTTCTTCACGGGTGAGAAGAAACGTCTCTGCGTTGGTTCCGAGAACGACGAGTCCCGCAAGGCCAGTCTTTGACAAGTAGGAGTAGTACTTGGCCTGTGACTCAGTATCAAGCGTGTCGGTGTTATGATCGAAGAAGGTGATGGCGGGAGCCCAGACTCCGCTTGGGGGAACTTTGGGGAACGACATGATGGCTGATTTAGGTGCTAGGGAGCGTGACTATTGCAGAGCAGAAGGTACGCTAAGCTCTAGGAGAAGACAAGATACTTAAAGCCTTTCCGGCAGGGGTCATTAGGTATCCGAGTAGCCGTTGGGTGCTCCGCTTCTTACAACCGGGCTGTACTAGGCCCAGTCCTACATCCGATTGTTCAACTTCAATCTCCGTCACATGCTTCACGTTTAGCCCGAGACTTGTTCCCTCATAAGCCGAACTCTCCATCCAATGCCGATATGTCGTTCTTTGAACTCTGACGCATCAGAAAATGACCTTCTACGCGACCCTTCAATTCGAGCTCTCAGGCCATTCCTCACAGAAAATTCCAGACTCGGCAAAGAGTGGCTGGAAGGCGACATTTCCGACGGGTATGTCATACCTCTTTTCCGAAGGATGAACTGCGGAGTGCCGATCCCCCGCAAAGCCCGGATAGACGATGCAACACCAAGCCGTGTCTGCGTGACATTGCATGAGTCATGAGCAGTTTAGAAAGGCCAAGTATCACGTATGGGCCGATCATGTCGGAGTGTTGCCGAGACACCAAGATTAGCTCGATCGTAACATATCTAGATTCGGCTGATGAGCGCGGGAAGCTTGTCCGGGGAATATCCTAGAGGTAAGGTTCTCAAAGAGGACCAGAAATGTTAATTCTTTTACTCTATTGAACATAGAGTCCAAGAGAATGAGCCCGAAAGTTGCTTGTTTTCTCATAGAGGCAATCTCACGGACAAGGTGTCGGGGGCACAATTGCAAACAGTAAGGTTTCTGGCAACATATTCACATCAAACACAATGCTATACAGAGCCCCAAACTTCTATGCAAAGTGATAAAGCGTCAATGGTATTGTTGATAAGCGAACATATGGCAACCGGTTTTGAGACCTGCACTGTGAGCATTGGAACAAGATAAGTGATCGAACTGGCCCATCGATTCTATTTAATAGTACCTATCTATAGTCCTAATCGCAGCATAGAATTCCACCCAAAATAGCTATCAAGACTTCTTATGCATAATTGTAGCAGCAGCTTGATGGTTGGGGAAGATTAGTGTATCAGCAATGACCACGTTCTCTCTCCTTCCAGCAGCAAACACAACTGCTTCAGCAATATCATCAGGTGTCAATGGCTCACAACCCCTGGGATACGATTAGTCCATGTTACGGAAGAGTCAATAAGTAGGCAGAGGGGACTCACGCGTAGACGGCGTCGGCCTTGGACTTGTCTCCGTAGAACCTGACAACAGAGAACTCTGTCTCGACTTGGCCGGGATCAATTCCGATCACACGGACTCGCTTGGAAATGAGCTCTTTCCGCAAGCTATCGGTAAATGATCGGACAGCTGCTTTTGTTGCGCAGTAGATGCCCCCTCCAACATATGGCTCACGACCAGCGATCGAGCCAATGTTGATGATGTCGCCAGCTCCCTCACCGTTGTTGCGCTTCAACATGCTGGGGAGAATGGCTTGTGTCATGTTGATCAGGCCCGTCACGTTGGTTGCGAACATGACGTCCATATCCTCTTCTGCAATCTCGGGTGCCTTAGCTACCCCCCTGACAAGGCCTCTGTTGATGCTTCATTAGCGTGTCTCCTTGCAGTTTCTCATACAGATACTCACGCATTGTTGACTACAACATCCACTTCCTTGAACTCGGCAGGCAGTTTGTCCACGAATCCTCGCACCTCATCTGGCTTGCTAACGTCAAGTTGAACTGGCAGGACCTTGACACCATCTCCCACTTCCTTAGCAATGTCGGCAGCAATACTCTTGAGACTATCAACTCGACGGGCGGCCAAGATGAGCTTTAGGCTATTCGGACTAGTGCGTGCAAACTCAAAGGCTGTAGAACGCCCGATGCCTGACGAGGCACCAGTGATGAGAATGGTCTTGCCTTGGAGGCGCTTGGCAGCTGCTGATGCCATAATGGGGACCTGTAGGATTGGATAGGTGGTGTAGGGGAGGGGACTAGTCAATTGAGGAGGGAAAAGAATCCGATAGTGCCCACATACAATTGGCAAGACTGCAAACGGTGACAACTGACAAGAGAGGATAGGTTAATGTACCTCTGAAATAGTCTACGTAGTAAACAGCATTAACTACGACTCGTGGCAGGTTCCGTCCAACGTTCGCTGTTCCGCGCCGTGGCTACGGATTTGCATCCAGGGGTACATATCCGTCACGTCTTTTCCGACGGATGGTGGCGCAACTCGTGAGGGGAAACACCGGAGAAAGAGAGCTGGTCCGACCTCTTGGACAGTGCGAACTCTAAGCGGCGGATTCGATTTTGAGAGAAGCACTGAGCCGACGGATGCCTGCTCAATCAGGGGTTGGTCGTCACATACGCTCATTGTACGGCATTCGGTTTCGGTCTTGGCATGTGTTGATAGCCGTGATCTTTGATCTTGTGGCCAATATCCTCTTTGGAGGCTCCTTGATAGCCACAGAATGGTGACACTATCTCCGTTCCGTAAACATCGGCTTATGAGGGGGCATTCATTTCGTCTTTATCCTGGTATCATTGATGGGTTGGTATCGAACTGCTCTCCGTTCTCTAGCCTAATTTAGATCCTGAATGTTTCGTCGTTGAGGAAAACATCAAGGTTGCCCAACCCCGAAGAAACCATGGAAGCGAACTGATTCCATCCAGAAAAGTCAGTGAGTGTAGACCCCTGAAGAGCGCTAAAGTCCATAGCACCCTGTCCTATTAAGTCTGTGTAGGTGGTTTCGTTGCTTGGACTGCCGTCCATTGTGAGTCCCACGTCTTGGAAGCCAATATCCTGTAGTTGGGTATTGATCCCTTCGAGTTCGTTTGTTGACGGGTTCATGCGGTTGATGTGGCGCAAGGCTTCGGTGCGCAGTTCCTCAAGCACGAGGCAATAGCGTTCGAACAATGAGCCCTTCTCAGCAATGGCAGACATGTGAGACTGGCATCGGGTGGCGGCTGCAAAGTGGCTGCTATACTCTTCAAACGGAGATGCCCATTTCTGGATGACGTAGATGTAGAGCACCATGGCCGCGGTAAAGGCAAAATATGCCGTGATCTATAACCAGTTAGCCATACGCTCAGTCGTTAGTCACCAAGTAAGACGAACCCAGAATGCACGGAACATTTGACGGCTGTGGGTGATCTCATCAATCGTGTCCACTGTCTCCATGGCTGCCTTTAGGCACTGCTTCACACTCTCCTCATGTTGAGGACTCTCGTTAGACGACCTCACTCCCTGCTGTGACACCCGTGTAAAGTTGTTGAGCACTGACTGCCGATGGGTGAGGATAATGGCATGGTAGAAGGTCAAGTTTAGAACATTCCTCTGCCGTTGAAAGATTGGAACCAAGAGGGATGAACTGAAAAAGTCGGCGTCAAGAAATCGGGACAGCTCGGCTCGCCATTCGTCCAAGTCTTTGGAGATGCGTTCTGTTTCTTCCGCTCGACGACTGGTTGATACCGGCTTGATGGAATACAGGCTGCGGAGTATCTTGCTAATGATACGAGCAAGTCTGCTAAGTTAGCTAAGAGCATTCAAGGAGGCTTTTGGTCATCTTACTTCATGTGCGCAAGAGGAGCTAGCATAATAGAGTACCCCCTGTTGAGCGCGGACGCGCTGATGTGGTCTCTTGTTATCTCGTGATCCTCAACACATGCTGGGAGTTCCGTGTCAATGTCATCGTCGTGGAAGGATCGCGGTCTACCTAAAGACATGCTGAGATACGTGTCCAAGGTGTATGCACACCAAAAGGTTCGACGGCGACTTTCGACTTCAACTTGACTGAGCCCGCTTGCTGCGCCGGGACGTTTGTTCCTATTCAGACCAATGGCAAGAGCTAAACTGGTTACTGTACCGAATTGGCTCCAACAATGGTTGACTCGAGACTGGGTTAGGAGGTAGTAGCATTGCAGTAGGCGGGCCTGGACGCTGGTGAGACGTATTGAGCCACTTTCTTTTGAGAGCTGGTGCTCAGCTGCAAGATAATAGCGAGAACTACCATCAATGATGTTAGCAATGTGCCTTTATGCCGCATGGAACACTCACCTCAGATCTGATGGACCAGGCCTGTCATCCTCGGGCATGTACACCCTAGCGTGGGCAAACACCATGAATAGTAGTCCAATCTTGGCTGGAGCATTGTTCACATCACGCATAGTGCCCAGGGTATCATAAAATTCGACGAACCATTCCTGAATTGTAGGACGATGTAGGAAGCGGTGTGTCGGCATGGCAAAGTCAAAGTATCGATCTATCAAGTGTTGGGCGTCGTCTCTTGGAAGCATCATGCAAAAGGACGGATCAAAATCAGGGGGATGGAGAGGAGCATCGCCAAATGTGAAGATGCTTCCTGGTAAAGAGAACGAGATGGCTTGATGGAGGCGCTTCTGAACCCTCAGCAGAAATGAAACTCCAGAGGCGGGACCGATATAATGCCCCTGTAGATCCTCCTGGGACGGCTCTGGAGAATGCTGCAGAGATGCTACCGGGGGTGCTTCTTCTGAAGGCATGAGACTGTTCGATGCCAAGTTGTAGCTCTGCAAGCCTGTAGGAGCATCTGCACCCTCTGTACTAGGTGTTACTGGGGCCTGTTGTGCCGAGACTGATGGACTCTCGCCGGAGTCCAAGTGAGGCGAGGCCGGTATAGTGATGGTCCCATGGTCGACGTCCGGTGCTGGGGGAATGATGGGCACTCGGCCTCTTGCATAGGCAGAGTCAAATGTGCAACGGGCCTTTGCCCGCATGCAAAACTCGCACGGCTGAATGCCATTGCACTTAATTTTCCGCCTAGACGAGATGCCAGTGATTAGCTCTCTAGTCAGTAAGAGAATGGTTCAGGTGGATTCACTTTTTGCAACGGTCGCAAGCCCGCGTTACTCTCACCCTCTCGCTGTTCCTTTTCCGTCTCCTCAAGACGCGCGTGGTCTCGCCAGCAGGGGCAGGTAGTAGTTGACGCTCTGAAGACATTTGGCACTGACCTTGACCAACCGAAATAAAGAAGACGTCACCTCAAGGTAAGGCATCCACGGAAAAAGTCCAGATAAGGAAGGGACTCAGACAAGTAGAGATGGCGAACTGTGGGAGATGTTGACGGAAAAGCACCTTGGGTGGGGGAAATAAAGCCGAGGTTGGTGTTGTTCCCGTCGGGGTGTTGTTTTCCGTCCCACTCGCCTAAAGTGACGGTTGCTGACTGTACACATTGAGTTCTCACGCAAGCCTCACTCAGGCTATTACAGTATTTCGTAATCGAAACGCAGAATAGCATTACTAGTTGCGACTAGCCTTTGACCAAGAGCACTCAGTGAGAGGACAAGTTGAGAGATAGCTAGCGAGAAGGCAATAGCAATAATAATAGGTTATAGAATTGCATGTTCGTCATGATGTCATCTCTGCTGCTGCCTGGTGCCCGCTGACAAGATACCCCTCACTGCAATTGTCGCTCGTCACAGTGAAGCTTGACAAGCCCAGTTTCTACAATGGAGGTCCCAGGAGATTCCAGCCAGAGACATTCCAACTCAGATTCTAGCTCAAGGCTCTTAAGTAACGACCGAGACTATTCAAGGGATGCAGAGTTTCTGACAAGCGACGAGAAGCATGCGATCAAATTCTGGGTACTCAATGCTCCAGATCCACCTCCCTGTTTTCAAGATGTCAAGGAAAAGTTCGACGACATATTTAATAACCACAAAAACCCAGACGCGGGTCCTATTAAAAGCTTTCTAAATGCCATCCTCAACACTAGATTGCAGAACGGGCCTGCAGTGAGCGCTCAGTCGCACCTTTTACTCTCTTCAAGACCAAGACTAAATCCTCTCATCTCTAGGACCCCGGAAGCCCATTCAAACTTCCAGGCTATGGTCTTCCTTTGACTCGTAACACGGGCATTTTGGGCCCGCATGCACCATACTTGCATGGCGTCTATGGCGGCTGGTACGCACCAACGCTCACAAACCGCGAGGTTTGCATGCTCAAGTTCGTCGAGGACACAACCAACGAGCCAGAATGGTGGCTCAAAGTCCGCGACCCTGAAGCTGTCCTCCACTGGAAGAGGCAAGTGCTTGAACTGCCTTGGGCTGGGTACCGGCCTCACGCCGACTTTACAGAGACAATGGCAGATGCTGTAAGTAACGGCCCAGATCGCCCACTGTTTCAGTCTCTCCCCTTAACTTCTTTCCTATAGTATCTTGTAGAACTGGCCAAGAAAGCAAACCTCTTTGAGGAGACGGGCATGGTTCCTGTCATGGACTACACAGCCTACGTGATAAAGTCAGACACTCTCCTCACACAAACCCTGAAGGACGAACTCAAGGCTGCCGTTGAACCATTGGAGAACTTGCAAAGGCTTCAGAAAGACTGGCAGCCAGACACCGATGGAAAGATTCTCAACGTGGTGGACCCATCCATCTGGCCGTTGGTATATGGGACGTCCAAAATCTTGCCCGACCAACATGTACCACTTGAAGGCTGCATCGACTACTGTGGCATGGGAGAGGTCATTCCTCAGCCGCCTAAACCAATGCTGGACAGCCGTAGGGCGATGCTGCTCCCGTTGAGGATGAAAGCCTTTGGAACACGGTTTCAGTGGCTTCCTTGCAATATCGATCTGACAGGCGAGAAGCCTCGCATTGTCAGCTACATCAATAATCTACATCCTGTACGAGATGCACCACTCTATTCAATCATAGAGAGGCTCATCGAAAAGTCCCTTCCGGCATGGGATATCGTCTTCCGCTCAACCGACGAGGCCTTCCAGGTTTCCCGGTTTCAGCCCATCAAAGCCATCAAATATCGTTGCAGTGTCCCAGAAGTGTGCAGAAATACCTGCGAGCCGAACAACAGACCGGGTGGACCACAGGACGACGATTCTGATTACATAAAGGAAAGCCATAGGCTGGATCAAGAATGGTGGGAGGCAACACACACAGTTTTGCTTCCAGAACCCAGCCTTGATGTAGACCATTTAGTCAAACTACAGGCTAGCCATATCCGCGACAAGAGCTTTTTCAAGAGAGGCGTCCAGATACCTAGTCCAGGAGCGATGGTGGGAAGGGACGTATCTCAAATCCAAGTCATCGTCAAGATGGCTAATATCCATCTAACTCCCGAGAGACCAACTTACGAAGGGAGTCCATGGCAGATGGAAGGTCAAGCTATTGAGAGGATCTGTGCCACAGCTTTGTTCTGCTACGATTGTGATAACATTGCAGATACTCCTATTACCTTTCGCACCCAGGGAAATAGGGAGAAACTAGGTACCAAGTTGCACTACATCTATGACGACTGGCTTAGCATCGAGAGGATCTTCGCCATGGAAATCCGTGGGACTAGGTTGCAGGAGATTGGCAGCGTACTAACTAGAGAGGGACGAGCTATCTTCTATCCCAATGTCTACCAGAATCGTCAGGGCCCCTTTGAGCTGACTGACAAGACTCGCCCAGGCCACTGCAAGATGCTGACTTTGTTTCTTGTCGACCCGATGAACCCCATCATTTCAACAGCCAACATCCCTCCACAACAGCGAGACTGGTGGTTGGAAAAGGTCGCAGATTTACCGTTGATCAGAAATCTGCCACCTGAACTTTGGCATCAGATCAATGAGAATATCGACTTTCCAATCGACGAAGAGACTGCCAGAAAGACCCGCGAGGAGTTGACATCTGAAAGGTCAGCCATCAACAAGGAGATAAACGAGAAATGGAGGACCTTAGATTGGGACTTTCCCCCCCAGTATTGAGGCAGTGCCGATTCTTGTTAATATCACCGCGGGTGATTCTTAGGGCCAGAGGACTTGGTTGCCTCAGCTCTCTCAGCTGATGATCAGGGCCATTAAGCCATGTTTCCAAGTTCTTGATGGTGCCAATCTCAGGGGTCCGTCCCCTAAAACTACCGACTGAGAGAGATGGGGAGGAAAAGAGAGGTGGGAAGTTGGCGATAGGAACTTGCAACCATGTTCGACTTGTTTCCCTAACCCCCTTTCCCGGCTCCGAGTCCCTCCCACGTTCTCGACAACAACTACTCTTTCAGGCGTAATTCACTAGCCAATCGCAGCTCGTGGCGATGGGTGAAGCCCCAAGGATGGGGGTCTCCCACTTTCCCCGCATCTTTGATAACGTCGCCATTTCGGTTGTCGGCGGTTCTTAGTTAGAGGGTCAACTCGGGCTCTCGGCCTTGGGGTGACAAAGCCCGAAAAGTGTGTCGGAGAGCTCCGGAGGGGATTCAGGATAATCTTGGTGTATTTTCATGATCATCTTGAATTGCTTCAAAGTTATTTATTAACCCCGGTGTTGCAAAGTCTTTGGCTTATTCGGACACCAAAGCATCCACAGTCAAAGCTTCAATAACAACTTTGCTTCTGCATACGCATTAAAAAGACAATATTCCTTGTCAATTCGCCTGCAACATTCTCCACAATGGCTCAGCTCGAGATCCCCATCATTGACTTCTCTGGTAGGTTACGGGTTCCCCTATAGAGTTGTCAACCATTTCTAATTGGCCCAGGCTTCTACTCAGAAGATCCCACCCGCAAGCAGGCTGTTGTGGACCAAGTCCGCCAGAGCTGCCTCTACAATGGCTTCTTCCAGATCACTGGCCACTCCGTGCCGCTGCAGCAGCAAAAGCAAGCTCTTGCTTGCGCCAAGAAGTTCTTCTCCCTCTCACAAGCTGAGAAGGATGAGGTATCCAAGGACAAGACGACCTGGAACCGAGGGTACGAGATGTTGCGGTCGCAGATCCTCGAGGAGGGAACCCAGCCTGAACTGAAGGAGGGGTTCTACATTGGCGATGACATTCCCAAGACTCACCCCTACTTTGTCAACAAGAAGCTCAACAGTGGTCCCAACCAATGGCCTGAGGCTCTGGGTGACGACTTGACCGATTTCAAGAACCACAGCATGGAGTACTACCACTCTACTCTGAAGCTGGCGTCCGATCTGATGAGGGTACTTGCCCTGTCTCTTGATCTCGAAGAGACTTACTTCTCTCGCTTCTTGGATGGCGCTGTTGCCACCATGAGGCTGCTTCACTACCCATCACAGCCAGCCGATGCTGATGAGAAGTTGACTCGAGGAATTGGTGCTCACACCGACTTTGGTGCCATCACTATGCTTCTTCAAGACAAGGTTGATGGTCTGCAAGTCTGGGACCAGAAGAACAATGTCTGGATTGATGTAAGTCCTGATGATACACTCAAATCTTGCAAGCTTGAACAGCCAGCTAACCACAATCCAGGTTCCCCCCACCGAGGGAGCTCTTGTTGTCAACCTGGGTAACTTGATGGCTCGATGGACCAACGAGAAGTACAAGAGCAATGTCCACAGGGTCATCAACAAGTCTGGCAATGAGAGATACTCGATCCCCGTTTTTGTCTCGGGCAACCCCGACTACGTTGTTGACTGCATTCCCACATGCAAGGCGGCTCAGGACCCTGCCAAGTTTGAACCCGCCACTGTTGAACAGGTTGTATCAGCGTCCTACGCCGAGTCCTATGGTAGGGCTCAACTCTACAAGCAGGGTCTTCAGAAGACCATTGATAGCCAGGTGAAGCCTGCCGGGGTCGCGGCTGCGTAAAAGGGAGTGATCGGGCTCTGGTTCACCAAGATGCAGCTGAATGTAACATAAAACTACAACATTACTACTTCGCACCTCAGTGCCCTGTTGGTAATTCTGCCCCATAAGTGTCGTCTTACCTCAAAAAAGGACCGTACTACACATGGAGCATCGTGTGATATGCAACCTCTCAAGGAGT